GAGAGAGAGAGAGAGAGAGAGAGAGAGAGAGAGAGAGAGAGAGAGAGAGAGAGAGAGAAGCTATTTTTATTCCCTATGGAACAAGAATGGAAAAATATGGCTTGGGCGGTTCTTCCAACACCCATTTCTTCTCTCAATAGTCCTACGAGCTAGGTGAGGCTGAGAGTTTCATAGATCTCAGATCAGATCTCCCCAGTCTTGATCAATATACTTGTACACCAACTCTCAGAGCTGCAGCCTATTCTACCTGCTGCCAGAGAACACATTCTGAAGAAAAACCTGAATTAGAGCAGGGGCAAGCAAGTTGTGTCCAAAAACCTTTTTTTACTCACTTTAGCCACTGAATTTTAGCTTTTTATAAAAGAAGGGAAGTCATCCTACTGTCAGGGAAAAAAATCTCTGAAAATAAGGAAATTCAGGTCCTTCCCATGCTGTCATCCCCCTCCCACATTTTGCCCCATTCCTCTGTCCATGGTAGCCTCCCCCTCAGAAGAAATTGGATGGTTCCAGGCCACTGAAATGGGTTCCCTTCCCCTGGCTTGCCTCTTTCCCCTTCCATTATCTGCAGGAGTAAGCAGACGAGTAAGAAGTATGGCCAGTGATAAGAGACTCTGGGAACTGTAATGCAGCAATGTTTGGAGGGCCACAAGTCACCTCCTCATGATCTAGGTACAGGGTATTATTGGGTCAGACAACAAATAAGACACAGGTTATGAAAGACTGCACATTTGCTGGTTCCTAAATCACCTGTCCCCAACCTAGTACCATGTAAACATGTTAGCTTTCTATTTTTGCCACTTCAGCCCAGTCTGCCCCACATTGCCAAAGTTCTTACTAACTAGTGAATCCTGGAGATTGAATTCCAACACGTTGGGAAGTAAACCAGGGTTGAGGGAGGGGGAGCTGAACATATCTGAACAATATAGTTGAACAATAACAGCTCCATTCTTATTAACATCCCTTCGCCTACTATTTCTTTGTATTAGCTTTGTTTTTTTACAGTTTTTACTGTTTTTAATAATAGTAATGATAACTGTTTTAGGTATTTATTCATTGTTTTAGCTTTGTTGTACACCGCCCAGAGTCACTTGTTGTGAGATGGGCGGTTATCTAAACTGGACAAATAAATAAATAAAATAAAATAAAAAATATTTGCTTTGTTTTGCCAAATAAGCTCTGCAGCCAAGATTATTGTTTTAAAGCCGAGTTCTGCTTTAAAGTTAGTAAGGCTGTGCAATGCTTTGGATATGACTGTTGGGAAAGTGCTCTGAAGTGTACCACGTTGGTGAGTCTTGAAAGCAGCCATACAGTATCTTTTTCACAGCTACTTTTTCACAGAATGCTGAAAAAGTATCACTGATTTAACGAGGGCCTGGCAAGTGTTGCATCTATAGGCCTGCATATTTTGAAGCAACTTTTCAACATTAAATCCAAAGTACTGCATTGCTCCAAGAATGATTGTCCAAAATTTATGTATTTCAATTTACTTGTCCTTTTTTTTAAAGCTTTTCAAGCTTAAAGCTTTTTAAAGCTTTTAAAGCTTAACATTTTAAAGCTTAAATTTTTTTTAAAAAAATGTTTTTGTCATTTTTGCCAAAAAAATGACAAAAATTATTTTTAAAAGATTAAGAATCAAACAGGAGGGCAAAACAAGAATTCTTTTTCTACTCACATGGTAAGTGATAATACCAAATAAAAGCAGGACCAGTAAGATTAAAGCAGTTATTAGAAGAGCTCCAAGATGAGTCATAACAAATCATTTAAAAGTCTAATTAAAAATCAAACAGTAGATCAAAGTAGGTATTGCTATCTTTGGACACTCTAAAACCAAGCGAAAGCAGAGCTTGTGAGATTAAGTAAGCAATTTAAAATATTGCAAAATGGGGAACCAATTCAAAATTTAATCTTCAGTGATCCACACCCATTTTTGTGGAAATTTGAACACTCAGCAAAGATTGGAGTGTCAGACTGTACTTTATCCAGAATGATCTACAATATGATTCACAGAGGTAATAATTGAGGAATTTACTTCCCTCTACCCACCTAGGTAGCAGCATTTAGCTGATCTTAGCTAACCTCCGAAAGCTAAGTGGGATCAGGCCTGGTTAGTTCTTGGAAGAAGGAATTATAGGAATTCCTACACTAAACTGAGAAGCAAAAAACAAAACAGAAAACACTACTACCACCATAAACCCAGAAGAAAGCAGTGACAAGTCACCCTGTATTTTTGCCAAGAAAATGACATGGATATATCCCTGAAGTCACCAGGAATCACGTTTGACTCAAAGAAGGTATTACCTCCCTCTGCCAACATCATGTTCTTCAAAATTGGATCATGATGAGGAGAAATCTGTGGGCTTCCAATGCTCTTGAACCCCAACTTCGGTCACCCCAGGAAGCAGGCCCAGTGGTCGGGGACAATGGGAGCTGGAATCCAACAGCTGGAAGATCACATATTCCCAATCAGTAGTAAACTCATCCGATTAGTAAATGCCAAGATGAAAGGGAAGCAAGGTTCTCGAACAAAGGAATACTTACCTCAACATCATTATCAGTGTCTTCAGAAGTGCTGTTTTGTTTATGACTGCTAACCTCCTAGAAACAACACAACATTAGAGTTTTGAACATAAGAACTATATTCAGTCAACAGCTACTGCAAAAATGAAATGAAGATATCATCAGTTTGAAGGTGATGCATCTTCAAGTTCTGAACATAACTTTCCAAATGATTTAATTTTTTGCAACATCATTGTTCATACTGACTTTAAGAATCAGCTGCAAAAGGCATCTTCCTTTTAGTTAGACAGATACACTTTCTCAGAGGCAAGTGAGAAGGTGTAATGGTATGTGGGAATGACCTTGGGAGACAGGGCAAAGAGACGCAGCCAAGAGAATAATCAGATAAAAGGCAGTTTAGCCTGCAGCAGGAATGTGGGTGGGGCAGAAAGCTCAGAAGAGACCCTCCCTAGATTCTTGGGCTGTAAAGGAGACAGTGGGAGAAATGTATTTTCACACTTGCAAGATTCTATTAATGTAACCTTACAATAAAGTAGAATTAGCTCATCTGGCCATGTTTCCTGTCTGGTCTACCTCACAAGGCTGACATCAATCCTGCAAGTCTGAAAGCCTCTTGCTCCACCCACACTCCTTGGTACAGCCACTTTCAGACCAACCTACAGTACCTCATAAGATTATTGCTGTGAGAGTAAGGAATATCCAAGGAGATTACACTGAGCTCCCAGAGGGGATCAATGTAGTAACTGATAAATTATAAACTCACAGAATGTCAGAAATCTTTCCTATTGTCCATTTACTTATTTTTTCTAATGGGAAATGCTGAATCGTGGAACTTCTGCATTTGCAAGCACGATCCTCTTCA